GTTAAAACTGATCTGCTGGTGGCTGCTCCTCTTTTCAAAAGGATAACTGGGCTCAAACTTGATTGCATGATTGTGTGTTAATGGAGGGAATTGATCTTGGGCAGATGGGATTTATGTTGAATTTATAATGTGTTCTCCTCTGTATACTAAAATATTTCCATTTGTTAGTTCAAAACAAGTTGCTTCAAATAAAATAGGAATGTGGCACTTGGATCTCCCTTTTGGTGCCTAACACATACCCTGCATGTTTTCAACTTTACATGGACCTTCACAGATACAACTGATGGGTAATGTCATGGAAAGCTTAGAAATACTTCACTCTCATTTACGATCGTACATACCCTCTTACACCTAGACTAAAACTAATTGGATCTTTTGTCCAAGACTCTATCAGTCCAGCTTCTATAATAAAATTGTGTGTATTTTTGAATAAAGTATGTTCACATTCCGTAGCTATTATACCAGAACATTTTTGCACACAACTAATATAAGAGTAATGATAAAAAATATCTTCTTCAGAGATTGTAAAATCCTTTGACTACAAAGGCAGTTTCTGTTCTTCCTTCCTAAGATGCATTTACCACACCAGCAGTGTGTAGAGGAAGAAGATGGAGGAGATGTTTATGCAAACTTCCACGCTCAGCTTTGTCTTTTTATAATGATCTGCATCCCACAAACTATAATTATTTCCAGCCAGATTTCATTTTTCTTAAATGGATTTTATTGACGTTCATAAATATTCAAAAACAATAGTATGTGTACTAAAGAGGCACCAGGGAATTAAAAACAAAAAACAAAAGAACAAAAACAAGATATGGGTGATTGTCTTCCAATACAGCAACGTGTAATTAATCCTGGAATTTTATTTCTCTTAAGAAATCTATATTTTCCAGGTTAGCTTTAATGATTCACAAGTATTTAGAAGACATGTTTGACTGCTAAGATATTCTTTACATCAGTATTTCAAAATTAAAAAAAAAATCCTTGTAAGAAATGATTCTTATCACTGTTCTCCTTCAATTGCTCCATCTTTCCAAGCCCAGAAAATTACTACTCTGCCCTCTTTCTTAATGTCTGTTTTTTAAAAGGCTGTTCTACTAATAAGATAAATGAAAATTTAGCAACACAATAAGTAAACATAAACTTAACATAGTGCTAAATTAATTTTCCTAAATGAATTTTTTTAAAAGATAACTTTATGTATTTAATTGGTATATCTTCCTCTTTTACATAAATAACTATGAATTTTGACACACACATATTAATTCCGTAAAGATAAAAGATGGAAATTCCAAAGGACACAATTCCAATTTGTGTCCTTTCAAATTTCAAGGACACAATATTGGATTTAATTGAAAATATATGATTATTAATTGTTTTATTATTGTTATTATGAACTTAGAACAATACATCATGAAAAAAAAGAACAATACATCATGATGTGCTGTCTCTGAGACACAGGCATGTGACTGGATTCAGATCTACTATAGCGACAGCTTCAGGAATTTGTGTCACTTCCTTGCCCATGGGAACCCCTGTTAAGGACCTGCTGCTCCTTTTGCTGCTCCCTAGCTGAGCTCTTCTTTCCCTGCTCCTTCCCCTCCTTCCTTGGAGGCTGGCCACATTCTCCTGGGTGCTTCTTACTTAGCACAGTGTCTAAAGAGCTCTCATGTACCCTTAACGCTGGGATTATATAAATACTGGCCTTTGCTTTCTTTGTAATTGTTCTGATTAGCAGCATTTTTTAGTTTCATAAAATGCCCTTACTTCATTTTCTACCTATTGTGAATCTGTAAAATAAGGTGTGCTAACTGAACAAAACATATCATTATGGGTATGAGAGTGTGTTAGCTACCTAAAGTAACAAATTGTTTTCATTAGCATGAAAGCACTTGATGTACAGAGTAGCAATTCCAAGAATTGTTCCTCTGTTTCAATGGGTCCCCAGAAGTCTTTTCTATGATGGTTTATTGGGTTAGTTATGATACAGTAAGAAACAAATGAAATGTTTTATAATAATATTATCTAATTTGAACCATTATGTAATTCTGAGCATTTTCCCTTTCTAATCAGGCAGAATAAGATTTAGTAATATTTTGTAATTTAAAGCTACAGGCTTATTTTAATTTTCACATATAATGTTGAAGAGAAAGAGCTAACTCCTTCTGAAAATAGATCACGGCAGAGTCATTGAGAACACAAATGTACTATAATCCCTGGCTTGATATTTTGCATTTTCTCATTTTCTTGCATTCTTTCCCAGACACATCAAAGTGTCTAGCCATACAAATAGCTGTAAAAAGAGCATGAGGAATAGAGTTGACATAATATAGATGATGTATAGTTTCACTCGACTTTGGAAGGAAAAAATACTCTCTTAAAATAGATTCTCAGCTGAATAAATTCAGCCCTAAAATTGTCCACATGTGAATAGAGAATCGACTTCTGTATTAGATCCACAACAAAAACAGAAAAAATTAAAAGAGATAGAAATAATGTTTGGTCCAGACTTCACGGAAAATAAATTAAAATCTAAGGAACATGCACAAGCAGACAAGTTCTTGATTTTTAACTAGCTAGGTATCTGTGCTCTACTAACTTAGTTAACTGTTGTTTTGAAGCAGCTGTTTCCTACTTCAGAGGATCAATATATCTCCTAGGAAGATCATTTGTTCAGGAGGATTTCATCCAGTGTTAGGAGTGCGTATAAAGCTGCCATGTAAATTAAAGAAGTGTGCTCCTAGTTGCCGTGCTGAGAACTTGCTGCTGGCACCCAGGATACATAGTCCATTTCTCAGATAATTTTCCCCATCAACTGCCCATATTCAATTGGATTTTATTCCTGCCAGGTCATGTGGTTGCATTTATATTTTATTTCCCCTATTTATTATATAACATCCACATTTTTTTCAAAAGGAAAGCTGTAGATGTCTGAAAAGAGAAAAGGGGTGAGAAAGTAAAGAGAAAAAGTTGTATGGAACAATTAAAATTATCAGTATAGTCCACATTTTTTTTCTCAAATTATTTCCCAAAGACATAGACATTTCTGTCTTCCCCAAACATCTATAAACTTTTGGAGAATGCTTTCCATCTGCTGGTTGTCTGTGTCACTCTTACAAACAAATTCAGGGATGATTTTGATTTAAAAGAACATTTTCTTATAATTTATGAAAGTAGCAGTTTGTCTTGGTTGTTAAATAGACAAGTATGTTTAAAATGCTAATTTCAGGACAGAAAATCCCAAGGCCCATTAATATAAACAGTTGGTAGTGTAACTACTAGATATGTGTGACAGAATGTAAACCGCTATTAGTTTCTTTAGGGATTTTGTTATTTAAAGCAAGTAATTGTCCAGATTTTCAACCTATGAAAAAATGAAACTATTAATCAATGTTTAGAAGATACTTAAAATGACATTTTGGCAGAGAATAAGATTTAGGCTGAAGATATGTTTTCTTATATTTAGACCGTTTCTGTAGTGATCATCCTAGTCCCGTGTTGGAAGGAATCCAGACATTCAATTCCTATAAAATCTCCAATTGTAGGATCAGGGTCATAAACTTTTAATACTCAAAAGAAAAAAGAAAAGTATTTTTATGTTTGAGCAACATTTTAAATCTATGCTAAATATAGAAAATACAATTATTGTTTATCATCCATGGTACCTCATGAATTTTACCTAATTTTTCTTCATTTTTATTTTTTTAAACAGAGTTGTTTTGGAATTCGGCCTCCTTCAATACTGAGGCTTCATACCTTCACTTTCCGACTTTCCATGGAGAACTTAGCGCGGATGTGTCTTTCTTTTTTAAGACCACAGCTTTATCTGGGGTATTTCTAGAGAACCTGGGGATTACTGATTTTATACGAATAGAGCTACGCTGTAAGTCTCCTTTCCAGAGAAGTTTTTGGGGGTGCGTCTACGATTTAGCAGTAAATTTTTTAACTAAGTTTTAAATAAATCATGTTTTTGCATTATCAGCTGAATCTTTTCAATGTGTCCCTTTGAAAATGTTCTATAATATCCCTTCATCAGTTTTTAAGAAAATAATTTGACATTAAGTGTATGATAACTTGGGACAATTATTGATATTTTCTACAGACAATTTAAAATGAGTTTAAAATGAAATAACTAACATTAAAAAATTCTTAGTAGTTAAAAATTAATTTGATATATTCATGGACTGCTATTGATATCTTAATATCTATTGCATTTATAAATACTGAGTACATATTACATGCTTTTTAATTGTATAAGCTTGGCTAGGTATGGTAACATATGCCTGTAATCCCAGGATTTAGGAGGCTAAAGTAGGAGGACTGATGTGAGTTTGAGGTCAACCTGGGCTACGCAGTGAGTTCAAGGTCAGTTTGAACCACATAGTAAGAGCCTGTGTTAAAACAAAACAAAACAAACCGAAGCAAAGCAAAACATGCCCATCTCTATTTATATCCCTGTCTATCTGTCTTGAACTTTGATTCACTGAAACAGTTATTTTACACCAAATGCAGATGCCATTTAGTTTCCAATGCCTGGCAAATAACTCTTTATCAATGTGAAAAATTAAATCAGAGAGTGACTTTCTTGGAATCTAAATATCTCACCAACTATCTCATCTCACAGCAGAAGACCAATTTCTATAAGGACCTTACTGTCTCCTTGAGTATAATTTACACTTTGTCAGTGGTTGTCAGGCAGTGGTGCCATTCCTAATTATATGGACTGCTCCGCTGTCTGCATGAAAACTCACTTGAATTATTTTCATGTCTTATTTTTCCAGCTCCAACCACAGTGACCTTTTCATTTGATGTGGGGAATGGGCCTTTCGAAATCTCTGTTCAGTCACCCACCCAATTCAGTGACAACCAGTGGCATCACGTTAGGGTGGAAAGGAACATGAAGGAGGCCTCCATTCAAGTTGACCAGCTGTCGCCAAAGGTACAGGTTGCTCCGGCTGACGGTCACGTCCTTCTACAGCTCAACAGCCAGCTCTTTGTGGGTGAGTTCTCTTCGGAAGCCATTTGATTGTGTCAGGCAAGTGCAGAGATAGACCAGAATAAAATATTGCCAACTGTAAAAATAATGATAAGGGGCTGGGGATTTAGCTCAGCGGCAAAAGCGCCTGCCTGGCAAGCGCAAGGTTGTGAGTTCGGTTCCTGGTACCGGAGAAAAACCAAAAAAAAATAAAAAAATAAAAATAATGATAATAGCAAGCGACAGGCAGCAGTAATCAAGCACCATTTATTAGAAATCCATGTTCCAGGCTGGCCTGGTATTTTACTTCACCTCATAATCAACCTGTACAATAAGGGTTATCCTCAGTATACAGGTGGGATAACTGAGCCTCAGGGGTGGGCTTGCCTTCAAAAATCCTTCCAGCAGATGACATTCAAATTTGGGTGTGACTCATTCCTAAACCCTCATACTGCACCCTTAATATTACAGATTACACACTGTGTACTTCGTTAGTGTTTCTGGTATGATATTGGAAATGTTTATCTTGATTCCTAGGACCCAGAAATCCTTCTCGCAATTCCAACCCGTGTCAACCAGTGATTCCCTCATCCTCTCCACAAAGAGGATGCATTTTTCCAGGCTGCTTTGGTCTCAGCATCAAAAACAAGCCAAACTAAGGGATGGGGGAGCTAGGCGTAGAATGTATGGCAGAACCTCTGTTACCGATTCCTCTATTTTCCCTCATGCTGTCTGTTTTTCTCCTCTGTTCCCATCACCTTTTTATATTGAGTCCCTTTATTTCCAGAATCCGTTCACTTGGCGCTCATGGACCTGCTAGTGGAATTCTCTTGAATGTGTTTCCTTTCTTCTGCATCTTTGCTAATTATTTTATAGAACTTATAGACCATGACGTTCAAGGAATTACCCCTATTTGATCAGTACTCACACTTTTTAAAATATAAATGGAGACAAGAAATCCTATAAAGTAGAATAAATTATGAACTATCAGAAATCATATTTCAGGCATTTTCACGAGCTTTATTTCCATGCAATTCATTAGCTCCTCTGTTGTACGTTCTGATGCCTAACAATCTCTTATTAGCCTTCTCAATCACTGCAAATGGTGAAGCTTGTCTGTATGTCCAAGAAGTCCAAGACATAGGTAGGACTTCGAATGAAATTCTCTACTCATTGTTATTTCTCACCCAAAGGGACTTAATAAGTACTTTCTATGAGTAAGGCACTACCCTAGACTTTCTCTTCATGATCTTGTGGCCACTCAGTGACTCATTTATGGATATAGAAATAATGAAGAATCCCTTGGAAGAAATATATAACTTTTCTCTTAATACCATGCTAGAAGCTCAGTCAGGAAATTGACATAGATATTTCTTAAATTCTAAAAAATGAGAGATGGCCACAAAAAAGGTATGGCAATTTAAAATCTGTCAGTAGCTTGGAAATAGCCTTACTATTCTTGGAAATTGCGAGGGCCGAAATTGTCCTCGAATTTTTCAGTGAAATATGCTGCAGTTTGCCTGGAGATGACCTTTCATCCTTCATATGAATTTCAACTTCACAGAGATGAAGTCACTGCACGTTGTGTCTGGTAGGAGCCCTGGCCGTAATTTGATTTCAGGTGGCTACAAGGAGGTGCCAGTGTGACATCGGAAAGCTGCTTTGGAACAGGCATGAGTCTTTTGCCATCAATCCTGCGCTATGATTTGAATAAGGATCAAAGAGTTTTCATCTTTATTGAGGCAATTACTCAGGACTTTGACACCTCCATATGTGTTCAGCTTTAACATGGGCTGTGTCACTTGAAAGTTTTAAAAACCAAAATCTTCATTATGTTCAAATCAAAGTCAGAGAGATTTAAAAAGAAAGGACAGAAAAAAAATCTCTGGTAAAAAGTGACACCCATTAGCAGAGATCTGTGTGCAGCTTCTTGCTTTTCACTCACAGACACCTGAACGAGTTGACACAGTGCTGTGTAGTGATGCTAAAGGAAGGAGTCACGGAATAAAAGACTTCAGTCTTGGGTAGGACAGCTCGTGGCTGTCAAAGGCCACCTAGGAGACTTGTTTGAATCTTTATTTCTGCCACAGCGTGGATCACTGTCTCTGGAAAGGACCTCAAATTAATGAAACTGTGCTTACAAGAGAAAATATTAAATTACCAACTTACAGCATTACTATCCAACAAATCAGAACTGTTTTTTCTGTGGATAAAGAGATGTTTTTTCCTACAGGCAGGCCCCATGAAAGACAAATTATAATTAAAAAGGTTACAGTGAATTAGAGCACAGTGGGTGAGAAAGTAGTAGAAACGCAGCAGTAATTAGAGCTAATTTAATGGAGCACTTACTATGACCAAAATGCTCTCTCCCTTCCTCAGAGTCGGAGTCAAGAATTGACTCAGCAAATATCAACAAATTCAACAAAAAAATTGCATGGATATATGCATACCTGTATATGCATATACACGTATACGCACATAAATATATATATATATATTTGGGTAGTAATGAGGGCTATGAAGTAAAAAGTAGTGTGAGAAGTCAAGAGATAAATTGAGCTGAGAGCTTCTAGCTTGAATAGAGTGGCTTGGACTGTGCTCGCTGGGGACCATTCTCTCTGAGGAAGCCAGAGGAAGCAGAGGAGAGACCCTGTGAAGTACCAAAGGAAGAGAATTCCAGGGGCTGGGATTCTGCTCAGAGTGTTGGGGATGAGTTTGGTATTCATGGAACGAGATGCTTACAAATGTAACTGGGGATAATGAACAGAGGGAGGAAGCGCAAGGGGAAAGATGGTCAAGTTATTACATTCATCGGCTTTCCCGTCACTGGGGCCAAATACCCGGCGCCCAAAGCTTAAAGGAGGACAGGGTTAGTGTGGCTCACGGTGTTGGGGTTTCAGGGTAGGCTTGGCCGGCTCCACAGCAGGAGGAGCGTGATGAAAGGGGGTGGTAGAGGAAAGGTGCTCACTTTATGGCAATCAGGAGACAGAGGGAAGGGGAGAGCCAGAGAGGGAGATGTGTCCCTTTAGGCCGTGTCCCCATAACCTACCTCTGTCAACTAGGTCCTGCCTCCTAACAGCACCTTCAGCTATAAACTCGCCCCTGCCCAATCCACTAACAAGCACCCAGTGATCCAATTACTTGCAAAAGCCCTTCCTCAGAATGCGGGGGACTCCCATGGGACATTTTCTTATCAAACCCATAATAATCCTATTGTGAGCCTTTGAAGGCCATAAGAATTTGGATTTTATGCTCAGGGATCAGGAAAGTGGCATAAGATGATTTGAAATTTTAAAGCCTTCTCTCCCTGCAGTAAGGGGCATAGAGGAAAGGCCTGGAGTGGGCATCCTCCCAGTAGATCCTGAGGGGGAGGTAAGTGATGCGAGGTTAGGTAGAGCTGGTGACATAGGCTGAGATATCACTTACACATAGACGCAAACACTTGCAGATGAATCAGTTATTGCTCTTAGTGTTTTATCTTTGGGGCAAGATGCTGCTTCCTAGGTTTCCAGATTCCTCACCCTGTTCCCAGTTCTTAATTCTGTCTGGTGTGAACTTTTCATTCCTGTGTTCTTTATCTCAAGTTGTACCACGATTGCAGCTGCTCCTTGGCCCCTCAACCCAGATTATAGAGCATCAGCCACATGCTCACCAGGCTGTAGAGAGCCTCAGGTCCATCTTCACAGCCCAGAGAAATGTTCTGCCACCTCCCACTCCTTCAGGGATATTCCATATGCTCCATCACTGCTTCTCACCATAAATCAAGCATCCTCTCTTCCTGTTTTCTGTGCCAATCTGTGTCACGTGTAGAAGGACCTTCCTCTCCAACGTGTTTCTTCACATGCCAATAAATTTATGAGAATTAAGTCTTACCCTGCTCTCAGAGCTGGCGATTCCATGGGTGACAGGGGATCTCTGTCCTAATACCATGTAGTTGATTTTCTGGTTCAAACTTTAAGGGGTAACTTAATTCCCCTACTTACACGTCCAGGAGTTTAATTTGTAGTTCGTGCACCCATCTTAAAAATAATTATGAGTGATCAGTATTTTCCAGTGTGCATAATGACTATTTTTTATATTTGGGGAGAGGGCCAAATGAGAGAAGTAAATGTGATTCTGAAAACTAAGTTTATAGTTTTCAGTGTGACTTTATTCTAATACAAATGTTTTAAATCAAGAGAGTGGTGACAACGATAATGTTCTAAATGACACGGAGATACAATCTTTGCTAACATGGGAAAAAACTGAAAGACTGTGAGTCCTAATAAGACAGACTGCATTCTACTCTAGCATTTAGGTAGAAAACTGCACTTCCTTCTTTTAATTTTAAAGAGAATAAAAATTAACAAACACATAGACAAAAACAAAATAATGCGAAATAATAAAAATGATAGTGTTTCAAAACAAAATGATAGGAATTAACAGTGGCTGCTATATTACCTATGGTTATCTTCCACAAAGTTGCTCAGATTACCAGATGTAAGGATGCAAGATTGATCAAACCATTAAAGAGAATAAAAAGTAATAAAGAAAACATTAGAAATGATACAGAGCTTCACTAAACAAGATGGTAGGAATCCACCAATGGTTGTTATATTGCATATTGTCTTCAAATTAGTTGTTCAGATTTTCAGATATAAGCATGCAAAATTGGTAAAAAATTTAAGCATTAACTGTTCCTTTCAATAAATCATTAGACATCGCAGTAAAATTATTCTATCATCTATCTATCTATCTATCTATCATCTATCTATCTACCTATTTATCTATTGCCCTCTTTCTTTTTCTCCTTTCCCTCATCCCAGTTGTTCCTTCCTTTGAGCAGTTTCTTTCCCTTTCATAATATTTATTGTACATTTTGGGTTTTATTTACTCTTTCAGGTTATTACACTAGGGAGACATTATGATGTTAACACATGTGGGTCTGATTTATTTCATTTATGGGTATGGTCTCTAGTTGCATTTACCTATAAAAACTTCAAGTTTATCGTTTTTATAGCTGAGTAATATTCCATTGTATAAAAA